TCAGTGACTATTCTACAGCCTAATATTACATAGAAGTGCCTCCTAGTTTATGAAATTTTTCTCTGTTTTCCTATTCCGTGAGTGGTTTAACAATGTATAAAACTGGTTTAGCATCTTGGGAATTTTATGCTTCTGGTATATCGATCAATAGTTGTTTTTCAGTTTCCATTGTGTTCAATTCAAATAGCCAAAGGACAAAAAAAAGGAACAAAATAGCTTTTGTTTGCTTTAGATTTCAAGTAACAGCAAGCTAATTAGATAAAACAATCACTTATAGGCAATACTGATCCATCATACAATTAGAAAAAAAAGACAAAGACCTGAAAACAGAATGTCACCTTATAAGTGTTTTATGGTTACAAAAAACAAACTACATAAGATTCAGTGCAAATAGAGTACAACGAAAACTCTTTAATTGGGACCCGTCAGCATTCTAGTTCCTCAAATGGAACTTCATCTTTGCTTTCTGGAATGTCAACTAACTTGATAAATTATGACCAAAAATATTTCTGTACAAAAGAAATTGCATGAAATCTATGTGTACAGTCATGCGCCGTATAATGACGTTTTGGTCAATGGCAATCACATATATGAAGGTAGTACCATAGCATCATAGTACTATATTTTTACTCTAATTTTTGTATGTTTATATACACAAATACTAATCATTTTGTTAGCATTGTTTACAATAGTATCAGTATAATAACATGCTGTATGAGTTCATAGCCTAGGAACAGGCTACATGGTATAGGTAATATAGCCTATTGCTGTCCTATATGGCTTATTGCTGTATATACCTTACACAGTAAGAGCTCAATATGATTAACTACAAGTAATAACACTGACTATTTAAACAGAAAAGCAGCCATTATTATCAGAAAAAAATGATAGCTTAAAAAATATCTTTATTTGGTTAAAATAAAGGCTGATGATATGATGTTTGAAAACAAAACCAAAGTACTACAGATGACGGTTATACTGTCTAGGAACAGGCCATATGGTATATAGTGTAGAAGGCTATATCATCTAGGTTTGTAAGTAAGTATACTCTATGATGTTTACACAATAATGAAATTGACTAATGACTGAATTTCTCAGTATGTAAACTGCTCCCCATCAAGTAACACATGACAAGCCATTGAGAGAGGGAGGTGTACGCTGAACACATGTATTCTCTGAAAAGTTCAATTTGATGAAGACCACCAGAGAAAATGATATGTAGAAGCTAGAAATCATTAGCATTTCTAATGTATCTGGTAATTCCTACTGAGATAAACTGACTAAAAAACAAGATATTTCTAACAAAAAGCCTTGTCTGGTTTCTCATGTCACTTTATTTCAGATGCATTTTATGGAACTTTGCTACATATTCTACCTCCCATCTGGTTCATATTTAACAGGGTATGCCACCTGTTCCTTGTTAGGATCCAAAGCCAGATATCTCTGATGTAGTATAAATGTGGAAGGTCACACTACTTCAACAAACTTCTCTGGCTTCTTTTACGTCTCTTGTAGTTAGGTAAATTTGAGGTTTTGGAACAATCTGTGCCATCTTAAAATGGAAGTAATAAGAGGACTTGAGTGCTTCATTGTATAAAGCAAAAAGACTGGTAAGTATTTATGGAATACCAAATGTGAGGGCGGTCAAAAGCAGGGCAGTTGATATGGTTTGACTGTGTCTCTACCCAGATCTCACCTTGAATTGTAATAATCCCCACGTGTCAAGGGCAGGGCCAGGTGGAGGTAATTGAATCGTGGGGGTGGTTCCCCCCACACTGTTCTTGTGGTAGTGAATAAGCCTCACAAGATCTAACAGTTTTGTAAAGGGTAGTTGCCCTACACAAGTTCTCTTGTGTGCCACCACATAAGACATGCTTTTGTTGCTCCTTCTCCTTCCTCTATGATTGTGAGACCTCCCCAGAGTGTGGAACTGAGTTCATTAAACCTTTTTCTTTATAAATTATCGAGTCTCAGGTATTTCTTCACAGCAATATAAAAATGGACTAATAGAGTAAATTGGTATTTGTAGAGTGGGGTGCTGCTGTAAAGATATTCAAAAATGTAGAAGCAACTTTAGAACTGAGTAACAGGCAGAGGAGGGCTCAGAATAAAATAGGAAAATGTGGGAAAGTTTGGAACTTCCTAGAGACTTGTTGAATGGCTTTGACCAGAATGCTGACAGTAATATGGAACAATAAAATCCAAGCTGAGGTGGTCTCAGATGGAGATGACTTCTTGGGAACTGTAGTAAAGGTCACTCTTACTATACAAAGAGACAGGCAGCATTTTGCCCCTGCCCTAGAGATCTGTGGAACTTTGAACTTGAGAGAGACGATTTGGTGGAAGAAATTTCTAAGCAGCAAAGCATTCAAGATGTGACAGGGCATAAAAGTTTGGAATTTTGCAGCCTGAAGATACAGTAAAAAAGAAAAAACCATTTTCTGGGAAGAAATTCAAGCCAGCTGCAGAAAGTTGCATAAGTAACAAGGAACCAAATGCTAATGCCAAGACAAGTGGGGAAATGTCTCCAGTAAATGTCAGAGACCTTCCCTGCAGCTCCTCCATCACAGGCCTGCAAACCTAGGAGGGAAAAATGGCGTTCTGGGCCAGGTTCAGGGCCCTGTTACTGAGTGCAGCCTCAGGAGTTGATGCTCTGCATCCCAGCCACTCCAGCCGTGGCTAAAAGGGGCCAGGTACAGCTCGGGCTGTGGCTTCAGAGGGTGCAAGCCCTGAGCCTTGGCAGCTTCCATGTGGAATTGAGCCTGCAGTGCACAAAATTCAAGAATTGAGGTTTGGGAACCTCTGCCTAGATTTCAGAGGATGTATGGAAATGCCTGGATGTCCCGGCAGAAGTGTGCTGCAGGAGCAAAGCCCTCATGGATAACCTCTGTTAGGGCAGTGCAGAAGGGAAATGTGGGGTTGGAGCTCCCAGAGTCCCCACTAGGGCACCACCAGCTAGTGGAGTGGTGAGAAGAGGCCTAGAATGACAGATCCACTGACAGCTTGCACCATGTACCTAGAAAAGCTGCAGACACACAACACCAGCCGGTAAAAGCTGTTGGAGAGAGGTTGTACCCTGCAAAGTCACAGAGGCAGAGCTGCCCAAGACCATGGGAACCCCTCCTTCACATCAGTGTGACCTGGATGTGAGAAATGGAGTCAAAGGAGATCATTTTGGAACTTTAAGATTTGACTTTCCCTGCTGGATTTTGAACCTGCATGGGGCCCTTAGCCCCTTCATTTTAGCCAATTTCTCCCATTTGGAAAGGATGTATTTATCCAATGCCTGTACCTGCATTGTATCGAGGAAGCAACTAACTTGCTTTTGATTTTACAGGCTCAGAGGCGAAAGGGACTTGACTTGTCTCAGATGAGACTTTGGTCTGTGGACTTTTGAGTTAATGCTGAAATGAGTTAAGAATTTGGGGGACTGTGGAGGAAGCATGATTAATTTTGCAATGTGAGGACATGGGATTTTGGAGGGGCCAGGGCAGAATGATATGGTTTGGCTGTGTCCCCACCCAAATCTCATCTTGAATTGTAGTTCCCATAATTTCCACATATTGTGTGAGGAATTCAGTGGGAAATAATTGAATTATGGGGGCAGTTTTCTCCAAACTGCTTTCATGGTAGTGAATTAGTCTCATGAGATCTGATGTTTTGTTTTGTTTTGTTTTTTGAGAGGGAGTTTCACTCTTGCTGTCCAGGCAGGAGTGCAATGGTGCAGTCGCAACTAACTGCAACCTCCACCTCCCAGGCTCAAGTGATTCTCTTGCCTCAGCCTCCCAAGTAGCTGGGATTACAGGCACCTGCCACCACACCTGGCTAATTTTTGTATTTTTAGTAGAGATGGGGTTTTACCATGTTGGCCAGGCTAGTCTCAACTCCTAACCTAAAATGATCCATCTGCCTCAGCCTCCCAAAGTGATGGGATTACAGTCATGAGCCACTGTGCCTGGCCCAATCTGATAGTTTTATAAGGGGTTTCCCCTTTCACTTGGCTCTCATTCTCTCTTGGCTGTCACCACATAAGACATGTCTTTTGCCTTCCACCATGACAGTCTCCCTACCATGTGGAACTGTGAGTCCATTAAACCTCTTTTTCTTTATAAATTACCCAGTCTTGGGTATGACTTTATCAGCAGCATGAAAATGGACTAATATAGCAGTCTACTTCCTAATGACAGGTTCCTAATGATAATTTATACTGTCATCATATGAGGCAGCTCTAATTAAGAAGGATAACAGGAATGCTTCATATCACACTTACTACTGAGACTGAAAATTGTCTTCATCCTTCACTGTAATTACCATCAGTAAAAATTTTATAATCAATATATATATCAAGAATCTATGCATAAAGTACATGAATTTACATTACCCAACATGAACCACTTACAGTACTTAAAGGACTTCTCTACATTTGTAGAAGAAAAAAACATATACTTATGAACAGTTCTGGGGTGGGTGGGTGGGTGTTTGTGTGTGTGTGTGTGTGTGTATGATTGTTTGAAATGACATCATAGGTAATCCTCTTTACTGCCTGAGATTTTGGAGCAAAACTATTAATACTCATTTACATTCTATTTAATTTTGTTTTAGGAAACCTTTATTCCAGAGAATTTTTAAATCTGCATAACATATTTTATTATTATTGTGTTCTACTATAAGAAGTAATTATGATTAATCCAGTTTTGTTTACAGTTTTAATTATGCTTACAATAACCCTAATTTTGATAGATAATATTAAGAGGTATCTATTGATATCAACTATGAAAATTAACTCAAATACCCAAACGGGAATCAGTGGTTTTTATCCAATATAGATAAAAGTACTATATAGTGATTACATGAAATAATGGATATAAGAAAAAATAATTACATAAATTGAAAACTATTTTAGGCCAAATGTATTAATAGGTAAAAGTTGTACATGAAATGCTATTTTATACTATAATTGCTATTATTATGTAATAGCCATACTATTAAAGACTTCTTACCTGCCCCTTTCAAGTGCTAAGGCATCAAGTTCATCAAAGAAGATAATGGAAGGTGCCACTGCTCTTGCTTTTCGGAAGGTCTGGTGGAAAGAGTGCCACATTAGCTAAAGATGAGCAAACACTAGAAAATTCTGTAGTTGGTTTGTGTTTTAAAACTATAGAACTAAATCTATTAGGTACAAGTCAATCACCCCAGTCACTTTGTATAGAACTTGCTCAGAACTTTATAATGCATGGAAAAGTATCCCCTTCAATGGTGCTTACAGAGAAAAGACTACCAGTATGTACTCACATAAATGTTGGGGAGGCAATTCAGTTAAGCAATCAGAAAATTTCAGTTAAAATCCCAGGTCTACTACTAGTAACTGTGTGACTTTCAGCAGTTCACTTCTGTAAACCTCAATTTCTATATTTATAAAATGGAGATGATAATAAACGCCTACCTAGATGGTTACTTTAAGAACTGAATTCAAAAAAGGACACAAAGCATTTGGCACAATGCCTGAAACAGAAAGAGCTCAATAAATGATAGTTATTATTAACTATTAATAACAGCATTAACTATTTTAACAGAAATGCTAGCTATTATTATCAGAAAAAATGATAATTTAAAAAAATCTTTATTTGGTAAAAATAAGGGCTGGCAATATGATGTTTAAAAACAAGACTGAAATATTACAGATGATGAAAACTGCATTTTTGAATAATAAAATATTCACCTGAAGAAAAAAAAAATACCACTAAGATCTGGATTTGGAAATGCCAAAGTCTGTTACTTAAATAAAAGGGAAACCGCACAGGACAGAAGGGTGATTCTCCTATGCTGAGTACCACTTAAGGCACAATTTCTTACCTCTCTAACTGCTCTTTCAGATTCACCAACATATTTATTCATTAATTCAGGCCCCTGCATGGAAAGAAAACAACTGTTCAGTGTCTCTATAAATGCAATCATGTATATTTCTTTCAATGATGTAGAAAAAATATACACAAAACAGAAAATAAATAAAATCTGCTTATTAATCCCTTTAGCATGCTTATTTTCTGTGTGTTATTTATGCCTTTAAAGTTAAAGCCATTCTATGTTCCAGAAACTACACATCAATACAAAGCAAAGGCTGTGACTAATCATAATATTTTAACAACTTATTCGTCATCTATCTTTAACTCTATCCACATTTTTACACTATATTAGACGTGGTGCTAGGCACAAAGATGGAACAGCCATTTGTTAGACCAACACAAAGGTAACATCCACATATTCCCAGACCTAACCAGTGGCTACTTCTAAGCAGGTCTACTTACCAGATCTGAAGATGCAAATTTTTTGACATTAGTATTTCTAAACTTTAACATTTTTATTACCTAAGTACCTATAATATCAAATAGTGTAAGAAACACAGTAGACTTTGTTTTTTTACCACATACATATCTACTTTCTTAGGATAAAGAGTCACCCCAAGAAGTTATGAATTACATTGTCCCATAATCATAGATGACCTTCTCAACTGTGGGGATGTTTCTCCCAGCATCTGGCTATGCTGACACAGTTCCTCAAACATCCCAAAGAACAATAGACATGTGTATGCCTCTCTCTCCCTCTCTCTCGGTGTGCACAAGTGTGCATGTACCCCCGCCACACACATACACATACCCCTTACTTTAAACACGATTCATATTCTATTCCATGCAGATCACCAGTCCAGCTAATTCCAAGGATGTAACCAGACACTGACTTGAGTATTTCCTAAACAATTTATATTAATTTTTAAAAATCTGACTGATTAAAACACATAGGCAAACCCAAAGTTAGTACAAGAAAACAAATACTAAAGAGCAGAAATAAATGAAATTCAGACTAAAAAATACAGAAGATCAATAAACAAAATCTTAAAAAAAATAGAATAAAAGAAAACTTGATCCAAATTATAAAAACACTGGAGTGAGGGAAAAAAAATGTTCAATACAAACAGATAGATACAGAAATAAAAGATGTCATAAACTTGGCAAAGAAAGTCTTAAAAACGGGTATTATAAATATTTTCAAAAAGTTTCAGGAAAATACATGCAGTTATTGACCTGGCCAAAATAAATTTTAAAAAAAGATGATGAAAAAGAATTTAAAAAATAATAATAATGAGAGTCTCAAAGACACAGGTCCCGTAATAATAACAGTATTAAAAGGTTTAACATATGAAGGGTCTTTAAAAAGTTCATGTAAAAGATCTATTATTTTAAAAATTATGCATGGATTTCAGTTATTTTTGCCAAAAGAAATTCATACTAACTTGTTAAAACATGTCTGAACTGAGTCTAGTTTGAGTCACTAAGGATAAGATATCAGTTTGAAGAGCCTCTGTCAGAGCCACATAAACTCTGTTAAAATTGAAGCAAGAACAAGCACCAAATTTATGGTGAAGGTTGGATAGAAAAATGGTAAAACTATTGATGCTTTATGAAAATGAGGACAATGCCTTAAATGAGGCAGCAGTTTACAGAAGTTTAAGAAAGAACAAGACTATGTTGAAGATGAAGCCCTCAGTGGCTGACTTTCCACATCAATTTGCAAGAAAAAAACTCATCTTGTTTGTGCCCTAATTGCAGAAGATGAATGATTAACAGCCCAAACAATAGCCACCACCAGAGCCACCACAATTGGTTCAGCTTACATAATTCTGACTGAAAAATTAAAGTTGTGCTAACTTTCCACATGATTGGGGCCAAAATCCTTATGCCCAGATCAGCTGCATAGAAGAGCAGCACTTTCAATCAAAATTGTAAACAAGTAGGATCAAGATTTTACCACAATGCTCCTACTCAAAAAGACAATTTTGTGAGAGTTTCAATGGGAAATCATTAGGCATATATCTTACAGTCCTGATTTGGTTTCTTTTTGTTTCTTAATCTTTAAATGTATTTAAAGGGCACTCATTTTTATTCAGTTACTAATGTAAAAAAGGTGACAACTGATATGATTAAATGCCCAGGACACTCAGTTGTTTAGAAACAGAATGGCTGGCTTCATCACTTTAAAAAGTATCTTGAACTTGATGAACCTTTGGTTGAGAAATAAAATTTATGTTATTTTTACCTTTTAATTCCACTTTTCCACAAACTTTTTGAAGTCCCTTCACATATACAATTGGAAAGCCAGAAGACAAGTGGAAGAGGATGACAAAAATATAGTCAAATTTGATTTTAAAAATATTAACCACAGATCCAAAAAAGTGCAATGAAATCCAAGGAAACCCCATCAAGATGCATCATTATCAAATTACTAAAAGCTGATAATAAAGTCTTAAAAGAAATCATAAGAACACATTATATAACTGTAAACAACAAATTACAGCCACTTCTTATCAGAAACAATTCAATCGAGTGACAATGGAACACAAAGGCTGCAAGAAAAAAACCCGTCAAGCTAGAATGACATATCCTTACAAATTAAAGATGAGAACAAGATATTATCAGACAAACAGAAGCTGAGAGGATACGTTACTAGTAGATCTTCACCACAAGAAGTGTTATAAGAAGTTCTAAAGCTTGATGGGAATTTACATTAAACGGAAACCTAGATCTACACAAAGAAATAGTTAGAAATGGCAAATATGTGAATAAATACCTTTTTCCATTAATTTATTTAAGAGATAACTGACTAAAATAGAAGTTTAAACTCTGCAATATAATGTAAAGTGTATAGCATATTTAGAGGTAAAATACAGAATACAGCATAAGAAAACAAAGTTATACTGATGTCAGACCTTACACTACAAAGTAGTATATTGTTATTTGAAGACAGAATGTAAGTACATATGGGGTAGATATTTAAGCAAGTATTTTTTTAAGTAAAATAAACAGGTTCAGCTATTAAGACAATAGGAGAGATAAAATTGGATATCAAAATACACTCAATCCAAAAGAAAAGAGGAGAAAAGTGGAGGAAAAAAAAAAACAGAAATGGCAAACAGACAAAGATTATGGACATTAACAAATCTTTCAAGTTGCAAACATGCCTGAAGAAAAGGAGACCATCTTTAATATTGCTTTTGTATAGTGCTGCTATGGACCAAATGTATCCCCCACAAATTCACATGCTGAAATCCTAATCCACAATGTGATGCTTTTAGAAGATAGGGCCCTTGGGAAGTAACTAATGAGTGGAGCCCTCATGAATGAGATTAGTGCCCTTATAAGAAGAGACAGGAGAACTTGATCAATCAATCGATCTCTCTCTCTCTCTCTCTCTCTCTCTCTCTCTCTCTCTCTCTCTCTCTCTCTCTCCTCTCTACTATGTGAGGCTATGTCAAGATGACCACCTGAAAATCTGGCAGTGAGCCCTGAGCAGACACCAGATCTGCCAGCACTTAGATCTTGGACTTCCCAGCCTCCAGGTTTGTGAAAAATAGATTTCCATTGTTTAAACCACCCAGTCTATGGTATTTTGTTAGAACAGACTGAAGTAAGACAATTGCCTTTGCAATGCTGCTTCAAAAATATTGAACTATTATAATATGGTAACAGATGAGTAGGTTAGAACATATGAGAATTAGGGTAGGAAAGTTAAGAGCAAAAATAAGGGACAGGAAGAACATCTCAAAGTTCAGACTGACAGAATCCAGCTTTGCCAACAACATTGCCACCCATCGTATTCAATTAAGATGAAGTATCCAATAGTATAAACACAGGAATACTTAAGTAATGACAGCAGTAGTTCTATCTTTCTGCCTGATTTTTTTCTACTAATCCAAGATGATTAATCTCTTTTAAAAACTGTTTCAGAGTAACAGATTATACATAGTCTAAAAATTAATATTTGTGGCTAATTAGGAGACAGATATATGAAAAGGGTGTTCATAAAAAAGAAAAGAGTAGTTATAACAATTAAAAATATTATCTATCATTTAAGACAGATAATATCTTTACATCACTGACTGAAATCTACAAACCACAGAGTACACAAATAAACAAAGTGATTATGTATCTGTAAGTAAACAAAGGTTTGCTTGGCACAGTGTTTTGGATAAGTAATTTATAATTAGTATATCCATCACTTGTACATTGGTACTTAAACTGTAAGCAATCATGTTTCCATAACAAAATTATTGTTAAGCTTAAGATATTACGGAGAGACTTCAAGATTACAATTTAATCACCAATACTTCCATTATCTCAATTTATTAAATAATGCAACCCCCAAATAGATTTAACTTTTAAAAAAGACAATGAAACATCAGTTATGCTGAGATAAAATGTTCTCACACTTTTCAGGATTTTGAAGAAAAAGCAACAACTTAATACCAAATGAATTTTACAAGCCTGTTTTTAGATACTGGTTAGATTATGTAACAGGGACACAACATTTACTACACAGCCATCTCTGAGGTAAACAAACTTGAAAGCATTTTTCTACATATTGTAGTATCTAAAAACATGAAATGTGAAGAGCCAGATAGTAAATATTTTAGGTTCTATATGCCATATACAGTCTCTATCACATATTCTTATTCTTTGTTAATATCCCTTTAAAATGAAAAATTCATTCTTAGCTAGGGAGCTGGACCAAAATAAAATGCAGGCCAGATTATATCTAAAGACTGAGACCTCTAATGTAAATTAATCTCACAGAATTTGAAATAGTTCACTTTTGTCTATAACATCAAAAGTCATCAAAAATGTCAATGACATGATTGCCGAGGAGTGAAAAATCTTCAAAGTATTTTAAAAATTGATTTAGAGACAATTAAGCAAAAAAAAATTAATGACACACACAAAAAAGCAATTTCAAAATATTTAGTAATGAAAAAATACATGTCCAATAACAACAGCACCTTCTAGGTATGTATACCCTAGAAAAACTCATCAATATACCAAAGAAAATGAATAAGACTATTACTGAGCACTGTTTAT